CAGAGGTTGTTTCAGGGTTCAATCTGTGAGTTAGCCATGCCCTGACTTAGATCAGCCCAGAGATTGTTTCAGGGTTCAATCTGTTAGTTAACCATACCCTGACTTAGATCACCTCAGAGGTAGTTTCAGGATTCAATCTGTGAGTTAGCCATACCCTGACTTAGATCAGCCCAGAGGTTGTTTCAGGGTTCAATCTGTGAGTTAGTAGGAGTCTGGGGAATTCAATACCAAACTGGGAAAAATGTAATGGTCTAATGAACACTCACCACCAGTCCAGATAAAGTTTATTGCTTCTAGATAGTTTCCTTGCTTGTTCTTTGGCCTGCACATATACTTGTGATGTTTCTGGTTCTTGTAGACCCAACTGAATGATATCTGGCAAAGTCTTCTCTACAAACAAGTGCGCATTGGTGCTAACGAAATGATAGAATCCTTCAAGAATGTCTGAGTCCTGGAAGATAAAACGAAAAAGATATTGTTAATGATTATTATCATGGTGATGATGACGATGATGATAATGGTGATAATGACTGATGATGTTGATGATGATGGTGATGATGATGATAATAATTATGGTGATGATTATGGTGGTGATTATGATGATGATGGTGATGATGATGGTACTGATGATGGTGATGATGGTAGTGATAATGACGATGGTGTTGGTACTGATGATAATGATGATCATAATGATAATGATGGTGGTGATAATGATAATGATGCTGATGCTGATGTTGATGATGTAAGCGTAACTCTACCTTATATTTCTTTACGCTGAGATAATCATTTAGTAGATTAGCTGGTCCAGTAACATTTAGTTTTGCAACAACCCAGGACAGATCAACAAGAAGGTGGTAAGCCTCCTCCTTCATTCCTGCTTTTTCCATGTGTGGAACAAGGTTCCAGTGAATGTAACCATCATCTTCCATCTCATCAAATTTGTCTGAAGACAGGAAAGATGAGAATACATTATCATCATCACTACACATCATCATCATCATCATCACCAACACCACCAGTCGTTGTATCCACCATCATCACCTTTATCACCATCACCACCATCATTAGCATCACCATCACCATTATCATCACCATCATCACCATCATCACCATCATCATCACCATTATCATCATCATTCTCATAACTAATGTTCATACAATCTAAATTTAGTATTTATGCATTAATTATCATCAATACTGTTGCAAAATAACAAAAAAATAGCAAGATTTACTGATCACCATGAAATGACTGATAGTACAAGTATAGCTACTAGTTCATTACCATACTGATAGTACAAGTATAGCTACTAGTTTATTACCATATAGTAGTCGATATCCCTCCACTAACTTCTTGTGTAGGTTTTCTGGATTTGTATTCTGTTCTCTAAGGAACGTCAGCTGTAAATTATGTATGCTGTACCACGTTTCCGTCATGTCACCAGACTGGACACTTTTCCTGGCCAACGATTTGTTTACTAATTCGTCCATTATGTCTTCTACTTCTTCGAACTTTGGCATGAATTAAAAAAGTATTTCAGTCAGAAGAGTTTCATGTCTGGCTACCCCAGCTTACCCCCCAAAGGATTTTAAAGTGCAAATGAACCCTTTTACAATACATTCAGTACTGATTCTGCATAAAGTAAATAGTTGATTGGTAAAATATTTCTTGATTTGAGTGATGYGTTTCTAAGTTATGAAGGTTTATACCAATCAACTATTTACTTTATGCAGAACCAGTACTGAATGTATTGTCAAAGGGTTCATTTGCACTTTAAGCATCTCCCTCACCCCTACTAGCCACAGGGCATCCTATATTGGAGTAGTATTACAGTAGGGAGGGACCGGAAATACTCTACTCACACATGATGTAAAGTCCATGGATCAAACCTTAGATTGGCACACAGGAAGGAAAGCCAGATGGCATAGTGGTGAGAATGCAAGTCAGGCTCAATTGTGAATACTAACTCACCTCTTCATCCCAAAGAATACAAAGAACTTGTGCCGGAACTTTTGCATCATCCTCAAACATTGCCAAATCCATATAACGCTCTCGTAATTCCGTTTTTAGATTGTTAATACTAATGGATAAAGCTTCACTGAGCGTGGGGTATTGATAGGAAAAGCTAGTTTTAAGTTTATTATATTTTTTCTTTCTTAGTTGGCCAAGATAGTACCTCCATCTCTCTGAATGTTCCTTCAATAAAGCACCGATCATAGAAATAGCTAATGGAGAACCATGCGTCAAAGAAACAATCTCATTTGCTTCTCTTGGCAACTCATTCATGCGTAACCCAGTCCAGTGAGACAACATTTCAAGCGACTCTTTGTTAGTGAATCCTTCGCTAACTTTAACTTTGCTTTTCAAGCCATTAATAACGTTAGATATCGAGGCATCACGAGTGGTTACAAGAACACGTACACGGATGTCGAAGTAGCGTAAGTCACATTCACTCCATAAGTCATCTAGGATGAGTAAAGACCGAGGGTGTTGGTGTGCAAAGAGAATTCTTAGCCGATCTTTAGCTTCTTCTAAGTTTCTCGGAGGTGCTCGGGCGTGGTCAGAATCAAGTCGGGTACAAAGATTTTGCATTTTCATCAGAAGTTTTGGCTGATCAATTTGACCAATCCGGATCCAGAACACACCCCCAGGGAAGCATTCGTTTAAAATCTGTGGGCTTCTTAATGCATCAGCGGCCAACACTGTCTTACCACACCCTGCCATACCATGCAATATAACCCATCCATCGCGATCCTTTAAAGATCGTAATGCAGTACGAACACGGTGAACTTCACGTGCTCTGTTGGTGAAGACATCTGGTCTTTGCGGTACATCCCCTTCTAACAAAACATTTTCCACTGAAAAATGAATCATTCATTAACTTTTATTAATAGGGAGATTGCATTGCAGTTAAGACAGTTTAGCTTCAGTTTTGGTCTAAATAAAATGGTTTGACACTGGTGGGCCTACCTCTGGAGCCTCCCCCTCCCCCTCCCCCCACCTTTGCCCCCTGACTTGCCTTACTAGCTTCAATTTACAGGACACCATTCAATTAAATAATGTGCAATAGAAGCAACCCAGATGTTTGGTTTTATCTCAACACAGCCCTCAACAGAACTTTTACTTAATATAAATGATATTTTCTTTGTTATAATAGGTTTACCTTGTTCTTGTATTTCTCTAGCATCTGAAACTTTTCTTGGTAACAAACTTTCTCCCTCCAAAAGTTCAGCAAGATGTGGATAAGGTTCTTCTAAAGAGTCTTTAAAGTGGTAAAATGCTGCATCGCTCTTAGAAAGAAGAATATCTAGAAGTTTCTCTGCCCTTCTCTTGGAAGTTCTGGCTGCTTTTATCAGTTCAACGTCTTCAGTATCAAAGACCAATTTACTTTGCAGAGAATTCAAAACATCGTGAACTAGAAGGTCTTCTACGATCTCTACTCTGTTGGTCGTTAGCATGTCATGATGAAGGCTGCTCATTCTCATAACTAAAGCAATATATAAAACAAATGAAATGTTGTATCAGAATATATACATTATATGTTGGTACAAATATAAAATACACACTAATACTAAAGAGATAACTAGCTAAAAACTAGTGTGAGCTGCGTCTGTGTTTCTAATGAAACAGTAATGATAAAAGGTAAATTATACACCGTGAAAAGATGAAAAAACTACTGATTTATCATATTCGTGTTTAAATGTTAACAAATACCAACAGTAAAGTAAAGAATGCAAGATCCCAGAATAGTAATCAGCTTTTCAAATTGCTTCTCAATACCATGCACTGAATTTGTTGCCACAATCAACAAAGTAAGTTTTTGTGGATGTCAATCAAAGTCTTGGACCGTGAGATTCTGTAGTCACATGCCCTCGAAAACTTCGCACTTTCCGTCAATGTCATAGTTCAACACTTGATTGACACCCATCAAAATTTGTTATAATGAAAAATTGCACAATTGTGCAAAAAGGAGGCAGCATGGTCGAGTGGTCATAACATTGGTCTCGCAATCCCGTGGTGCAGGGTTTGAGTCCCGCTGTGGCCACTAGCTGAGACTGTATTTGTCCTGATTAGTTCAAATCCAGTTTCTTGACCATATGCTTGTAAATAGCCAACTGGTTTACCTCCTTGCCAGTTGGGATTTCCTAACAGTATTATGTTTATATTTATCTATTTCAGTTTCTAATTTGTCTCCCCAATTAGCTCTGAAGAGCTGAATACATTGAGACGTTAATAAAGTGGATTTTATTTTATTTTTTACAATTCCACATGTAACAACAAAATTAAAATATTAACAACGCAAATTACAGGATGTGTTTAAGCTCATATATATGTATATATTATACTGTTTGTATCACAAAAACATTCATTAGTATTTTTATAAACAAAATTTCATTCAGAATTGTAATAGTACAATAGATATAACGAACGCATAACAAAATGTCAATAAACCTTAAAAGCCATCAACACAAAAACATTGGTTATCTCATTAACACCTAAAGACCTGTAAGTGCATGAACCTAGTTAAATTAAAATTTTAGCGATTCGAAGCACTTATGAATTAGATTTCATAGTTAGATAGAATTTTTTATGTTATAAGCATTTATAGTTTTATAGATAGGTAAATCCAGTTGCATTAGAACAAGTTTTCACGTTAAAATTACTCACGTTGTCCAGGGGAATCTACAAAATCCAAAACACATCCACCAAGCTCCTCTTCTGAAACTCCATCTTTCAAGAGCTCAGCCAAATGTGGATATTTTTCCCCTAGTACCTTGAAAAACACAGCAAATGCTTCGTATCCCTTAGTTGGTAGGATATCAAGGAGTTTTTCTGCCCGTCTTTTAGAGGTGAATTGGCTCCTTATGACTTCTTTGTCATCTGAGTCCAAAACATGTTTGCTTTCCAGGCAAACAAGTACATCATCTACTAAGAGATCTGTGGCGATTTCATCGCGAAATTTGATAAGAAGGTATCTATGATTCTCTAGCATTTTTCAGGTGCGTTATTTAAGAGTATTCATCGCAGAATCAAACAGATTTTTTTGGTGTAAAAAATAGCTCACTGTAAAAAGATATGCCTTCCTTTTGACTTCCGCTGTAATGGGAAACTCCCATCCGCATGCGCATTAGACAATCCGCTGTATCTTTAGTTCCTGGCATGACGTCATATCCTGTACYTTTGCGTCCAAACAAACGTCATGTCTTGTTTTAAGCTTTTTACTTCAAATCCCATCCTCATTTAATAAGCTCAAATGACTCCAGGTTTTTTTTTCAATTAAAAAATTGTACCTTTTTTTGACATGAAAATAATATAGAGATTGGGGTTGCTGTGTTTTAKGGAAATAGCCTGCTCCCCGGAGAGCCCTCGTTAACAGGCTATAGGGAAATAAAGGTTGAATAACTGATGGTGAAATCATGCATTCTGATTGGCTGTTAGAGCAGGCAGTATTGGCTCTCTCTGATCTTGGTCCAGTATCCTGGCTGCTTTTGCCATCACTCACACCCATGAGATAACAGATTGTTAAACAAGAAAACAAATTGCAAAGCAAATAAAAAGTAATGGGGAATATAGTTTACTACCATCCTAAAGTCAGTCCGGATAGAGAAAGACTGTGCCCCTCAGCCTTACAGCCTCAGTCTGTAAATGTAACTCCTATGCAAGCAAAATGAGAAGCAGCAGCRAAAAAGTACATGGAAAAGGAAGTGGGGTAGAAAAGAGACTTATTACACCTTGGAAAATGGTTGGACGTTCTTGAGCCATTGCATAATGCCCTTACTTCACTGGTACCATTCCAAAAATTCAAGCTTTAAACAACAAGTTACAAATCTTTTTACAAAAACAAAAAAACATTTGAACAAAGAAAAAAACGATTTTATAAAATTTTGCTTCTTAATTGAAAATATGTACCTTACATATTACTTCAGTTGTTAACGCTTCCATAATAACGTGAGAAAATTAAAATAAAAAACTACTGTTTATTGGACTCTGTCACAAATACTTAACATTTTTACCTGGTTGAACAAATTGTTTAAATTATAAGATATCTTTTTTAAAAAGTACAATACATATTGTAAAAAATTAGTTACGTCAGCTGAATTAACATTAATTTAACATTCATCRCACAAAAATACAAGCCTTGGATATAAAATAAAAAGCAATAAGTATAGCAAATTGCACAATCTYGAGTACAATTCAGAATTTATGTGTACAAGTTTTGAACRTTTTCAATTTGACAACTTTCAAAACATCATGAGTATCTATAAATTCTGAATTGTACTATACAAGAAGGTCTGTGAGTTACATGTTGCCTTGCCCTGACTTACATCAGCTCAGAGGTTGTTTCAGGGTTCGATCTGTGAATTAGTCATACCCTGACTTAGATCAGCCCAGAGGTTGTTT